GGCTGCAGGTGCGGGGCCCCCCCCAGCCCTTCACCTGGCACTCCAGGAGAGCCCCCTCGTCCCCCCGGCAGGTAACGGCCTCCAGCCAGGTGAGCTCGCCCTCGCCTGGCCTCACCTGGTCCACGCCCGCTGCCCCCCCACAGCCCACCTGGGCACAGACCACCTGGGCGGCCGCCAGGTGCCAGGAGTGGGCGCAGATCCCGCCCCAGCGCCCGGCATGGAGCACCTGCACCCTCCCCGAGCACCTGTCGGCACCATCGGCCAAGCGCAGGTGGGTCAGGTCGTCCAGGTGAGAGCCTGCAGGTGAAGGGACACACACCTGGTCAGGTGAGGGGACACATACCTGGTCAGGTGAGGGGGCGTTTGAGGCACCTGCTGCTCACCTGCGCCCACCTGCCGCTCACCTGTCCCTCACCTGTCGCTCACCTGCGCACATCTGAGCCCACCTGCCCCTGCCCTGTGGCTCACCTGCGCACACCACGCTGGCATCCTCGTTGTGCTCGCAGCCGTGGATGCCCCAGCTCTTGTGGCGACACTCATCCAGGTGCCCCTCGTAGCCCTGGCAGGTGAGCCCGTCCAGCCAGATGGGACCACGCCCCTCCCCGAAGCGTGCGCGGGGCGGGGCTGAGATCACCTGGCCGCAGCCCAGGGAGCGGCACACGACGGCGGCGGCGGCGAAGTCCCAGGTGTCGTCGCAGACTGTCCCCCAGGTGCCGGCGTGGAGCACCTCGACCCGCCCCGCGCACTCACCTGGGCCGCCCGCCAGGCGCACCTGGGCACCGCCCGACGGCTCCGCACCTGCGGGCAGGGAAGGGGGGAAGGGCATACCTGGTTACCTGAGGGGGGGCGGTACCTGGCGGGGGGGGGATTACAGGTGTGAAGTGAATGGGTGACACCCTAAACCACACCTGAGAACGGCAGGACCCAGGGGAAGGTGGTACCTTGCTGGGGGGAATCACCTGTTCTACCTGCCCGGGGGGGGGATCACCTCTTCTCCCTGCCCAGGCACCCCGAGCCTCACCTGAGCACACCACACCTGCGGCTCTCCCACCCTCACAGGTGCGCTGGGCCCATGGGCTCGTCCGACACTCCCCGAGGTTCTTCTCTGTCCCTTGGCAGCTCACCTGGTCAAGCCACACCTGCCCAGGTGTGCCGAACTCCGCCCCTCGCAGGGCGGTGCCGCAACCCAGGTACCGACAGACCACCTGGGCGGCCTCGTGGGACCAGCCTCCGGCACAGACCCCGCCCCACCTGTCCAGGTGAAGCAGCTCCACCCGCCCAGCGCAGCGGTGGGAGCCGTTGGCCAAGCGCAGGTGAGGCGGCTCCGGGATCAGGGAGTCTGGAAAGACACACCTGGGTGAGGAAGGAGCTCAGGTAACTCCCCCCAGGTGAGCTCCGGGTTGTCCTCACCCCCTCTTCTACCTGGGAAAGGTGGGGGGAACACCTAGGTGAGGCCCAAAACCCCTGTGCCTGGAGCACAGAGTTACCTGGGGACCCTGATACTCCTCTCACCTGTCCCCAGAGCTCACCTGGCACAGGTGGAGTGGGAAGGACACAGAGGGGACCTGGGGGTCCTACCACCCCCCTCACCTGTCCCGGAGCTCACCTGAGCACACCACACCTGCGTCCTCGCCGTGGTAGCAGTCGTTGCGACCCCAGGGCCGGGCGGGGCAGGCGGACAGGTGAGGCTCTGCCCCCGTGCAGTTGGTCTCGTCCAACCAGATGAAGCCAGTGCCCCGCCCAAATTGGGCCCTCCCAGGTGCCGACAGGGCCTTCCCGCAGCCCACCTGGCGACAGACCACCTGGGCGGGCCCAGGACACACCTGAGTGTCCTCAGGACCCACCTGAGCATCCTCCGGACTCACCTGAGCACCCCCAGCACCCACCCGTAGGATCCACCTGAGCCTCCCCAGCCCCACCTGCCCTTCTCCAGCCTCACCTGACACCCCTGGGACTCACCTGGGCGTCCGCCAGGTCCCAGGTGTCGTCGCAGACCGTGCCCCACCTGCCGTTGTGGAGCACCTCGACCCTCCCGGCGCAGCGGCTGCCGGAGCTCACCAGGCGCACTTGGTCGGCCTCGGGGTTACCTGGGGGGCAGAGGAGGGCACAGGTGGGAGGAGGGAGAGGGTCGAGACCCACCTGGAGCGCCCTGGTACCTGTCCAGGTGCTGCCCTGGCACCTTCTCAGGTGCTGAGCCTTGACCACGTGTGTCCCCAGCACCTCCTCAGGTGCTGCACCTCCACCAGGTGCTGCAGGTGCCTCCAACCACCCCAAACACACCTGGACCACCCTTCCCACCTGCCCCCCCTGTGGCCACCTCAGGGGCACCAGGTGAGCGCTGAAACCCCCTCCCAGCCCCCAAAACCAGGTGGAAACCCCAGATGAGCCCCCTCCAGGTGTGTGTGTCCCCCCAGGGTGCTGCTCACCTGTGCAGACCACGCCCGCTGCCCCGCCCAGGTGACACGTGCGGTTCTCCCAGGGCTTCACCTGGCAGCCCAGGAGCTCCTGCTCTGTCCCCACGCAGGTGACGCTCCCCGGCCACACCTTCATCTGCCCCCGCCCGAACCAGGAGCCTCCAGGTGCGGAGAGGGCGTGGCCGCAGCCCAGTTGCCTGCAGACCACCTGGGCCTCAGCCAGGCCCCACCCGTGGTCGCACAGGGCCACCCAGGTGCCCCCGTAGGACACCTGCACCTGCCCCTGGCAGCGGGTGGAGCCGTTGGCCAAGCGCACCTGGGCGGGCACCGCCATCCTGGAGGCTGCAACGACACAGGTGAGCTCACCTGGAGGGGCTGGGGGGGGCAGGGGGCGGGGGGAGGTGGCAGCAGGTGTGGTCAAAGGTAAGTCCCAAACTCCAGCAGGATGTGGTTCCGTGGTCGTGCACCTGAGCCAGGTGAGACCCAGGTGTGCCCTAGGTGTCCCCAGCTATCCCCAGGTGTGTCCCCAGATGTTCCCAGGTGAGTTCACCTGAGCAGATGACGCCGGCGTCCTCCCCGTGGAAGCAGTTGTTGTCCCCCCAGGGCTTGGCGGGACATTCCAGGATGGAATTCTCTGTCCCGGTGCAGTTCACCTCGTCCAACCAGATGACGTCGTGGCCCCGGCCGAAGTGGGCGTGGCCGGGCGCGGCGAGGGCGTGGCCGCAGCCCAGCTGGTGGCAGATCACCTGAGCATCCTGCAGGTCCCAGCCGTCGTCGCAGACCGTGCCCCACCTGTGCAGGTGCAGCAGCTCCACCCGCCCCGAGCAGCGATCGGGGCCCTCCCGCAGCTGCAGGGAGCCCAGTGATGACGTCACTGAGTCTGGGGAGACAGGGGGGACAGGTGAGACAGGTGGGACAGATGGGACAGGTGAGGCAAGTGAGG